CTATCTAACGGGTTTCCGTGCCCCCCAAGAATGGAAATCCTCCATGCTGTCTGAAATGGTAGCCACTCGCCTTGGTGTCAGAGTGGATTAAGTGCTGCTAACCACAAGGTCAGTTGTTTGAACCCAATAGCCACTTCTTTGGAGAAAGATGAAGCTTTCTGCTCTAATAAGCATTGACGGCCTTCGGAACCCTAGAGGGGAGTTCTGTTCCGTTCCATGGGTTTGCTATCAGGCAGAATTGACTCAATGGTATTGGGTTCGGTTTTTGGTTTGGTTTAGTCACACGTGATTATTGAGCATTGGAAATATTGATAGTGTGACTGAGTAAACTGCATTTTTTAAGTGTTATTCAATTTTAATTACCTAAATTTGCAGCTAATTGCCTTTACATTTAAATTTGTATGGATACATGTAGCTAATTGCCACCCTATTAAAAATATGGAGAGACTGCATCAACTGAAAAAATTATGACACTTTGCTCTTTTATGTAAACTGGGTTTTCCCAAAGCATCCAAGTCGAACATTCTGGAATTGATTTCTACATGTAAACTGGGTTTTCCCCAAGCATCCAAGTCCAACATTCTGGAATTGATTTCTATTGTGTAGGCACAGTGCTTAATGATAAACTTACAATGACAAACCAGACAGTCTGTTCAAAAAACTTACAGCCTAGTGCTTCCTCACCACACGAGCCAGCCAAATGAGAGACTCTAATGAATGAAATAATACCTGCCTTATTAAAAAAATATTAAGGGGAATGGCAGGCTGTAATGTGTATGGAAACAACTGCTTCATAGATGGGCTTAATTACTATAGGAATACATGAAATTCCTTATCCCTTTTTACAATGATAAACTACACAATATTTACTTAAAATATGTATAAGGCTTTAATATTTTAGACTTGGTGTTATTTTTGTACTCTCAATTATTGTCAAGTTCAGAAATACCAGCTTCACCAGACTAATCTAATTTTTATATGCAAGGGTTTTGGAATCAGACAGACTTGGTCTTGAAGCCTGACTGCTACTTTTCAAGTTTTGTGCTTTGGGAAAATCACCTCTCCTTCCCTCCCTCCAAACCTTGATTTCCTCACGGGTAAGCAGGGGCTACTGAGAAGGTACTTCTCCTGTTGGTCTTGGCTGCCATCTAGTCCCGGTCACCCCATGCGTGCAGACGAGAGTCCCTCCCTAGGGTTTCTGAGGCTGTGACCCTTCAGACAAACAGCCAGGCCTGTCTTTCCAGGTGCCTCTGGTTGTATTGGGAACCAACCCAGGGATGCCACATTCCTCAGCTCCTCGTGGTGTGGTTGGAAGGATTGACTGGCACACTGAGAAGAAATGAGCTGGTACAAGAATGATGGTTATAACTTCCAAGGTGATTTCAACCTATAGGACAGAATGGAAATGCCCCAGAACGTTTCCAACGCTGTAAATCTTTGCAGGAGCTGACTGCCACTCCTTTGGAGGGGTAGGTGGGCTCTAACCCCTGGCCTTTTGGTTAACAGCCAGGCACTAACTACAGCACCACCAGCGCTCCATAAGAATAACAACTGACATTTAATACACAGATACTATGCTCCAGACAGGGTCACAAGGACTTTCCATGAGTTAACTCTTCGATTAACATTATGAGCAAGATATTATTATTATTCTCATTTCAAAGATGCGGAAACTAAGGCACAAGGAGATGGGTGGCCTCCGGTACATCATGCGCACTCAGTGTTGCTTTCATGATTTTTGTTATCACTGATGGTTTCCTGTGGGTAGAGGCCCCCTATGCGGAGACAATCAGTGAATCACTAATCAAGACAATTGGCTAGAATTTTGGTAATACAGTCTGATGTTATTGATTTGTCAGTTTTCAATTCTCTCCCACTGTACTTACTATTATTTCTCCTCCTCTTACAAACTGGAGCCTGGGCTGGACCAATAGCATATCACAAAGGTAGACGGTATCGCACACGATGTCTGTAATGAGCCAGTAGTGCATGTTGTCTGCTGTTTGATATGGGAAGACAATGCGCAGTGGGATAAGCCAGCAGTTCCAGTTGTAGGCAATGGTGACAAGGAGGAGCCACAGGAGATAGACTCGATCTGAAAAGACAGCAGCTGAAGTCAGCTAAGTGACATCCAACAAACATTAAAAGAATTGTCTTGTGTAG